TAAACTAATAGTGATGGGATAAACAATTAGAAATTCTCAAAAACTACTTGGCCAATCTACTCCAATTTTGTTGCGGATATTTAGAAGTACGAATCCTACAAATTTGAACAATTTGAAATATCTGCTAGAAACCATCGTCGCATTACCGACCAAGTGCCAAAACCTGCAGCTTGCCTCGGTTTTCAGTCATAACTGTTTTGCTATCAGTTGGATCTTTTTACGCCTGATCTCATTTTATAGGTCTCATAAATACCTAAAAATTTTATGTGAAGAGTTTTTTCGTTCTTGCCAACACTTTTGATTGAATCCCAAAAAACACGTTTTCTCATTATTTGTTGTCGAATTAAAAGTTTTCCCACAAAAATTGGTGTACCCATTTTATGTGTCCATGTTTTGAATATCCCCTAGAACAACTTGCATCAATAAAACCAGATTTTACAGTTATTTCGCAAACCAGGGGTATCTTCGTCTAATATGATTAGACAAATAATGAATCTAATGAATGTGGTCGATTTGTTGGAAATTGTCTCACTAACTGGAGAAAAATTATAAGGTGTATGTAAGATGAGCCCCTAATTTCCAGGTTAAATCAAAAAATACGCCAGAAGCCACTCGATTGGACAACCCTTTTTTTTCATTTGCTTCCGTACACTAAATTAGCGGCGATGGTAATAATGTACCAATGAAAAAGAAACCTTTGCGCCGTACACGAAGCATGGACACAAATCTGATACAATATGAAGATTGATATGACAGCAATTAAATGAGCATTTTTTTGATACAGTGTCTCACTGTTCCTGTACAAATTTCTGCTTGTTAAATATTTTGGGGGCATAAATAAAATTACAGAATTATTCATTAGCAAACATTGAGCAAATACTCAATTTACTTGACTAGCGCGTGATAAACCATGTCTCGCAAGCCGGCCCTGTCAACAGGGAGCTCTTGCGCCCTCTACTGGACAATAGGATGACTACTTATAGTCTTGCCTCACTCATCGCGGCTCGGCAGTAAGCAAATTATTTATTCGGTGTTTGTTAAAGAATAAGCATTCTGTTATTTTATTTATGCTTTTAAAGAATTTATCATGAAGATTTTATTCAGCAACAGTGAGACACTGCTATTTTCAATAAAATGCTTAGCAGTGCCCAACTAACAATTATCACTCCTATTAAAGTTGCAAAAATGATTATACAGTATTCCTTACACAGCATTGTATACTGTAAGAACATTGGCAAAACCCTCTTAGAACAGCTATACAAGCGGAATGGGCACACCTAATAGGAGACTTCAGTTATTTAAGAGGTTGTATAAGGGCTGCAGGTAACAGCTATACAACAAAAGTGTAAGCCTCTTGCAGCCGCTATAGGGCATTTGCGTCAGTGCAAGATTCAGTTTTTGTCAACTATACAACTATTCTGTTAGGTGATTCTACTTTATTGCAACCAAACCATTTCTTATGTATTGTATAGACGAAGTGAAGAATATATAACTAACACAATACAGTCATCTTGTTTACTTACATATCGGCCATTGTGAATTTCATACACAGGTATATGATAAACTTCTACACTCTGATATAGGGCTATATTGAATTACTTGCGCAGCAAATTTTATTGTGATTATCATGCAAAGTAGTTACGCAATTTCTACGGGCTTCGTATTTGATTCATATTTTGATAATGATCAAACGTATGTCTAGATTTTTAAGATGGAAAACTGAACTTATCTGCATTAAATCTTACACAAATCCTATATTTAGACACAATTACACTAATGTTTATCACTTTATATCTGTAATTTCGAACTGAAATATAATTATTTAATATCAAATAGAGGAATAAATGTTTTCCCAAAATGGCGGGTGTTTGTGTGTAATCATGGCATCGTCCATGTTGTCTTTAGTTTATTAGAATATTTTGGTGTTGCCTGCAGGTATTATACAACAATTTGACAAATGTCAGAAATGAAATACCGACAGAGTCGAATGATTTACCTAGAATTTGTACCAGATCTATATCTTCTGTTTGAACAGTTGATAAAACGTTTTTAACCAATATGCATGCGTTGTTTGTCTTAAAACATTGGTTATGGCATTTTAACAAAAATATGACAGCAAAAAGTTAGGTTATGGTGAAGTTTTTTACCAACATATTTAGCATAATATGTACAGCCTTTAACAGTTACTAAACAACAGTTGTATAAGTGCTTCCGTTGGGAGCAATTTGTTGGCTAAAGTAGTAAATTTGCACAGCAAAACAACAAGGCTCGGGTTTGTTTTATAAACGTTACCATGGATGCCACAACACAACCATTTTGACTAACCTGCAAATATTCCGTATAAAATAATTGTATAAACGTTTATGCAACAGTTAAAAATTTGTCCTATAAGGTGTTGTGTAACTATGCTATAAGAATATTTTAAACACCTCATTTTAGAGCAAATATGTTGCAGAAAGCAAATTTGCATTCCACACAACATTAAGCCAGCATTTTGGTGTTCAGGCAACAATAGAGAGCTTTTATGGGTGAACGGTTCATTTACCAAAAGCTTATAGCACTACTTTGCTAGTTGGGTGGCGTCATGTCAATCTATTGTATCAGGTTTGACCCATGTTTCGAGTAGGCCACAAATCCTTCTTTTTGATGGACGGAATTTGCGTCAATGTTGTGTCCGGGCACAAACGAAAAATAGGTTTTTGTATATGAAGGATTTCTTGACTTAATATGAGAATTAGGAGCCCATCATCCACAAATCGTATAATTTTTCTCTAGCTTAAGAGACATTTTACAAGAAATTGAAAAAAATATTCATTAGATCCATTACTTCAAAGACGCCTTCACATTGGTCCTATTTGTGCCAAAAGCGCAAGTTTTGATTCCCGCAGGTCAACAGTAAAATCAGGCCGAAAAAGCGCTATCGGATATTCGTTTTTCTTAAATAACATTATAAATAATTGAACAAATTTAGACATCAGTAACCAGTTGAATTCTGACGCCACGGTGTCCATATATAAGAATCAACTTATTTAGGTCGTCAGGCACTGACGTCCCAACGTAATATGGCCAATGAAGTAATTCAGATTCCCTGTTGTTTGTGTGTTGGAAATTGGGTGGCTATTGAAAGCATTCCTTTTAACATACAACACGGCAAGACAAAAGAGTATTTGAAATAATAATGATGACGACTAATTTCAACATAATTCTTATGTTACTCATGTCCAGCTATAGTCATGAAAATGCACTTAAAGTGTTCAGATGGCGCTCGTTACACATAGAATGATTTGTTTCGCTCGCGATAGTAGTATTGTTGTCATCGTAGTGATTGAAGCTTATTGAGTTAAATGAAATGCATGACATCAACGTAGTTGTGTGGTGTGTGCTCATTATTATTCTTCTTGTCCAATTTCCCAGAAATGCACGCACTTTCCTGATTCATAGTATATGTTTATCTAGAACCTGACCTCAAAGTATCTTTCTGTATTCATGCCCCTCACCTGCTTGAGCTCCCTTTTGCCAGAAACCGTATACGCGTTTTCCTAAAATTTACGCAGAATATTTCGTCTACATTATGATCCCAGACCCTTGTCACTTTAGGAAAGTAATGGAACGGATCTGGTTTCATATTTTCCTTCTCTCAGTGAACGTCGAGCGGAACCATTACTGGAGAACATGGGTGGAAGGTATTGTGGAGAACACTGTCTCCAAAGGTAGTATAGACAACGTCATATTTATTTTTTGTATCAATTAAACATCTACTTGAAGATTTAGATTCAGCTACCGTTATTTCTTTGCAGTACATAATGTTTCTTTTTGTTGGTATCGGTAAGTTTTATTAAGGTTAGAGACGGATAAATACAATTTTTTTATAATCTAACGACATTTTATAGTCGTATTTTACTGACACGTTTATAATTATACTTCATTGTATTTCTCAAGGGAAGTATACTTTCAAATTACAGAGAATATCAAAGTTAATAACATCGAAACTTTTTTTGATGATTCCATTCATGTCCGTTTGTTTGCCTGTCTGACTGTTGGTATGTCTGACTGCAGGTTGGCGTTGTTTTAGTTACGTAGTCTTAGTTAATGGGTGCCACGATGTATTTGAAAACAAAGGATCTAACAGTGAGTATGACTATGACTATGAATTATGACAATGCTTGTTTCATGACATATATATTATATAAATAATGATATAGCTGTCGACACTGTTTTTGGCGGGTCAAAGTAAAACTACCAGTATCCCTTTATATACCTCCATCTTCCTCATACATACACATGCAACCTGCCCCTGTGTGTGAACGTGTATTCGGTAAGCTCAAAGACATACGTTTTTTAGTTGTGTGTCTCGGTCTCGCAAACTTTGTCGTTACGTATGAGAGCCCTTCAATCATATAAGTGACAACTTACTTGACACCGGCGTGCAATTTTAGTTGTCCTGTTATCAATCTTCAATATAAAATTGTACAATGCCCGGAAGTACGATCAATGAAGAAGGCCGACAGCTCGCTCTAAATTTATTAGAGTATTTCCAGGAAGAGAATGAAAACAGCGGTCCCCTGTTATCCACTTCATGCGTACTGGAGAGAGTAGCAGATGCGCTGAAGATTAGTCTGCGCATATGGTACGGAGACTCGATCTGTTTACTTATTTCATATGGCGTTGATGACAAGCCGCCAAAAACGGTGACTACAACCGTACTAAACAATATGTATGTATACCGAGGGTATCCAATTTATACGTTTGGTATGTATCAAAAAATTCTGTTCTTTGAGCTACAGGCCAGATTTTAACATATGAGGTATCGTTGGATTATTGTTAATATTCTATAAAAATAAAATGGCGGATCTTAATAAGACCAATTTAACCTTGAAATTCCTATTTCATTAGCTACAGCTTAAACGACTTTTTTTTATACTCCAACTACCACCAAGGCGTAAGGCCTAAACACCCATTGGTACCGTGAGGCTATGGGGGATACAGGGTAAAGGGGAAACACCACACGGACTCTGGCGAGGGAACACGTGTGCATGCAACATGCACACATTCTGGCTCTGCCTACGAGATCCGCCGGGTGGTACCTCCGCGTTCGACAGTCGGAGACCGCCTACCACCTACGGACAATCACAACATCCATAGCCAAGAGAAAAATTTCCTCCTCGGACGGGATTCGAACCCGCACAGTGCATGGCGACTCAGGGGACCGAAGAGTCTACTACTGCGGCCACCGCTGCTGGACTTTGGCTTATAAGATTTTGTTGGATTCATCTTATCAGTGGGAGTGACACTGGCTATATTAAAATTTTATAAAAGCAAAATGGCGGATTGTAATAGAAAATCAACCTTGATATTCCTATTTCACAGGCTACACCAAGGGCTTTATGAATTTTGACATATGAGTTGTCAGTCGCTTTCTCTTGATCGCGCTATTAGATTATTATTCTTTGAAGTTACTGCAGTTGGGTGCCCTGTACTTTCATAGGATGTATTTGTTTCTCTTGATTTGTGCATAAAACTACTGAGTCCCAGTATATGTCGCTGTCATAATGTATTCCATCGTTTCCATTACTAAGGCGAATGTCACACCATCAGTATTTAGTAAAATTCATGCAAGGTTCCCCACTACTTCTAATATAATGTATTCTGCTATTGTTGCTGTTTGATGGAGATAATGTTTCGTATTGTTCAACTTTCAAAGTGACAAATTAAGCAGAATTGTTCATATACTGTACCGCTAATAAATGTTTACCTTCGTTTCTTCGTCGTATTTAATTTTTCCTTGCTTATAAACAATAACTGAGCAATTCACAGCGCAACACAGATAGTATTTCTGCCTCGCTCTAGGTGATTAGATCCAATACGAATAGCTACTTGAATATCCTTTCTAGAGAAAATAATGTACGCCGATGTATTAGTTTGGCAATTTGGTAGGCGATGGAAGCCAAAAGTATGCTCTGGAACTATACAATTTTGGTGACAAACGATGCAATGCAAACATCTAGGATTGACTTCTAATTTATTCGAATTCGTTGGTGACATGGAGAGCCTACAACATATTACGCATCTAGTGTCGGGGACAACAGTGGTTGATGTATCAACATGCACCGCAATGTGAACGAGCCGTAAGTGGTTGTGTGATATGTGGAACTGGTTATGCCAAGCTGTGCTAGTTGTCAGCAGATTTCAATCCATAGCGAGCGATATTCAGTAACTAGGCATACTTCACGCAGCGCTGGCTCTTAGCTTAGCATAGTGTAGCTGAATCTAGTTAGTAGTTATAGTAAATCCAAATTGAGTATAAGGTACAACAACCTGCCTCACCTATGAAGGGATTAGTTATTCATGTGTTGTACGTGGTGTTTCTGGCGTGATTGCATATATCAGTTTGTTTATCCAAAATCCCTTTGGCTGGCAGATTATGCGTGGCATAACAGCGGCCTACATCTCATTAAGGAGTTCTCACCTCAACTTCCTGCACACTGCACCTTCAATTTCCTGTCAGCTCAGCTTCAGCTTGCAGCAACGCCTCGCGCCAGAGTATGAGGTATATGTAAATTCATAACCGTCAAGTTTCCACCAGTTAATTTGCTTGTACCTCAAAGGCTATGAGCTGCCAGCGGCGGCAAGTACCAACTTTCGCGATGAGTTATCACAACTTCTGTTGTTTTGCTGACCATTGTTAGAAACTATGTAATTATAAGGATAATATAGTTTCATAGGGGATTACATACACTTAGTTTCGTTTGGATATTTTCACTTCTACTAGCGGGCGAGTAACTGTAACTGCGAAAATTTTCAAAACCGAGATTTTACGTTTCTTGGATTTTATATCATGAAAAAACATGTTACTCATTTTCGTCGGTCTGCTTGCCTGTCGGTCTGCCTGCAAATTTAGAGAAGTACCCCTTGAATTTTACTGAAACTTTTACACAATGTCACTACTATGTTAAGGACGCAAAAGCTCTGTAGGTTCTGAAAATAGGTCCAGTGAAGGCAGAGAAAAGGGCCAAGAACGAAAAAAAAATAACAATTGCTCAAATTTCAATTTTTGACGCGTCACAGGATCATTTTTGAAAAAATATAGAGGCAAGCAAACTTGGGATGGAGGTATTAGGGAGGCTCCCAATATTGGTCATCCTACGGACCTATTAGAGATATTTCACAAATATTAGATTTATCCGTACATTAGCCTGTAACACTTAGAAAAGTATATATTTTCAGCAGAGGGGCCGCGACACGCTCGGCGACATGCCGCCGGGTTTGGTCACTGCCATAGCATAGTGTTTGTTTCCCATGCTCTGACCACGTTGCTACGTCTAACCGGGTTAAGTATCGGAGAGAAGCGACGTTTCCAGATACACTACCGGTAGGGGAAGGAAATACTGTTTATGGAATAATTGTAGGGACTTGTTTGACTTGTTCTTAGCTTATGCTGCACATATTTTTTTATGAACTGATAACGACGTTGCTTGTGAAGTGCAGAGTCAACTTACTTGACGCCATTTTTCAGATAAAAAAATCGGTTGTAACCGATAGAAATGCCAGTGCAAATATAAGGGTTGTGCTGTGATTTGAGTGGGCTATACTACCGAAATATTCAGTTCATATATCAAATTGTCTTTACATTATTGATGCGTAATGAGAATTTTAATATAAATGAGACATATAGTATTATAGATAATTATTGCAAGATACTCTTTCGATAAGAAATGTTGGTGAAGGTTTCCTCAGGATGATGCCCCCACCGATACCTCCTGCACTGCTATCACTACCCTACAGACAGCAGACTTTTAATAAGGGATATGTATGTTTTTTTGTATTTTTTGTCGATTATTTACGTTCATATTATACTGTAAACACATGTCGCATTCACGGAAATGTTTATATTTTTTTGATTGAATATTTTAAAGTGCATTGCCAATGACGTTGATTTAAACGCAGTATTTTTTGCGCGCATCACAGTGTCGTCACAACTCTTCGTTTGCCATTTTATTTTATATTTGGTAAATTTGCTGTCATGATTTGATGTCAAGTTGTGGAAGGCTCTATTTTATATCCTCCGGTTTTGATAAAACGGATACCTTATTATAAGCACTGTACGGTGACCATTTGTAAAAGTAGGATACGTACAATACCAGATATATTTATTTTCATAACAAGTGTCGAAAATGGTACTTTTCGGCACGCGACTACAGTTGGCGGACACTTTCTGCAAGAGTTAGGAGCCACATTTTTATTTTTTCTACTTGCACGTAATAAGAAAAGCAAACTCTCCCTGCTGACATTCGTCGGAAAATTTCTGAAAAGAGGGCTGCGATTAAGCAAGCAAAAAGGTCTTGTCATCCTGATGACATTCGTAGAGCGATGAATCTCGTCCATGAAGTGAGAAATGCACTCCATGAATTCCGCAATGAGCAGTGGAGTGACTTTCTGGAGGGGATGCTTGAATCAAGTATTTCTCTCTGGAAAGTCGCAAAATCGGTCAGAAACGGAAGGCAAGAACAACTACCACATATTCATGGTCCTGGAGGCATAGTTTTCAGGACTGAGGATAAAGTGGAGGTTTTTGCTGACGTCATGGAAAGGCAGTTCTCACCCAATTATGATCTGGACAATGACCTTGACGAGGAACGACAAATTGTAAGATCTGTCAGGAGATACTTCAGAGCGAGTGGCGATACCAACATCGGTGCTAGCATCGGTGACTCCTTTTCAGAAGATTCTTCTACGGAAGACTCTTCAGATGAATCTCAGCTTAGCACATCAACGAAATCCTCTGAGATTCCGTTTTGCACACCAGCAGAGCTCCAAGGCCACATTAAGGACCTAAAGGTGCGTAAAGCGCCTGAAGAGGATCAAATCACCAACAAAGCACTGAAGTTGCTTTCACTCAAGGCTTTGACTTATCTGGTGGCAATAATCAATGCAATGCTCTCATTACTTTCCTAGCGCGTGGAAGGTCGCTGAAGTCATCATGATCCCAAATAAGGCAGGTTCGATATTCCCCCAGGATTACCGTCCCATTAGTCTGCTGTCAGCTCCTTCTAAGCTCGCTGAAAAGGTGATTTATCGTCACCTTGAGAATTTCTCGTCAGATCACCATGTGATTCCTGACGTGCAATTCGGATTTCGGTCTGAGCATAGTACGTAACTACAGGCAGTTAGACTGGTGGAGCATGCAACCAGGGGGTTCACCCTGAACAAAAGTACTGGTATCTTTCTTTTAGATGTATCAAAGGCATTTGACAAGGTGTGACACATGGGCCTATTGTATAAGCTCATCCAAAAGGGTTTTCCATTTTGGCTACTAAAACTGTTGAAATCTTTTCTAGATGGATGGAAGTTTCGGGTCAAAATTAACAACGTGTTGTCAACAACACGGCCCGTAAGAGCCGGTGTACCACAGGGTTCGGTCTTAGGACCAATCCTTTATTCACTTTCTATACATGACGTCCCTTGCTCCAGCAACTGTGAAGTCTATCTCTATGCTGATGACACTGCATTGTTAGCCCAGTCTTGTTCTGGCAACCTGGTTCACGACAGGCTGCAGAGTGCGGTGGAGGAAGTATTGGAGTGGGCGGATCGGTGGTTGATCAAAATTAATACTTCGAAAACGCAGGCAATCTATTGTACTAAAAAACGTCGCGGTGCCCGCTCAGAGGTATCAGTGAATGGAACTCGTATACCAATCTGTCAGGTATCTTGGAGTCATCATTGACAAGGGGTTGACCTGGCAGAAACATACTGATATTTTGAAAACAAAATTCCAAATTACCTTTCGGCAGCTTTATCCTTTGTTGTGCAGAAATTCAAAATTAAGTTTGATCAACAAGATTCGCGTGTATAAAATGGTCATAAGACCCGCAATCACCTACGCATGCGCGGCTTGGTGTTTTCTTGCCAAGATGCACATGCAGAGACTGCAACTTCTGCAAAACAGAACCCTACGCACAATTACTAATGCTCCTTGGTACGTGTCAAATGAGACTATTCACAGAGATCTTGATATCCCATATCTAAGGGATTACGTAAAACAACAGGCGCAGCGGCGTTATAATCAAGCGGAATCGCACAGCAACCCTCTATTGCGTGATTCAGTAGACTACACAGTCGAGCAAGTTCACAATCATCCCATGCCGCGCCTCGCACTGTGATCAAAATTAAATTGTAAATTCAGACCAGCAAAAATTATTTCAGTATACAAAACCGATCAAAATTATTTTTTGGAGTTACAAAATAATTCGAGAAGTCAAAGCAATCATGCTTAAGC